TAAAATCCTCCACAAAAATCAGTTTTAGCAAAAATTGTGTCGCAAAACGTCAATTGCAAATCCTCCCCAAATTGCATTCGTCCATCGTTAATCTCTCGAAAAGCAAAACTTCTTCCTGCACCCTTTTCTTCAATGCAATCTCAGTAACCCTATCGTTATTCTCGAGAACGATAGAATCTCTATAACTTCTGCAAATCGCCAATGACATAAACATATCATAGAGGATAATGCATATAGAAATGTACATGTAATTCACTATTCCAGTTTTTTAAATGTCTTTAATGGCGATTCATTGACGGAATGCAATGGGTTTTTTTTTATAACATAAGTGAAAGATGCAGATTCAAAGGTTTTAACCCCGATATTTTTTATTTTTATTTTTTGTTTTGACATTATTTTTTGTTTGGATTTTAATGTTTGAGTTACAATATATTGCCGGTTGTTTGTGTTTTTGTTACATCTTTTCAGATCTCGATTGCGATTTTTTCTTTTGTAGTCTTTTGTTGTTTTCAGACCTTGGGGGTATTTTTTTGAATTTGTTTTTTTCCTTCTAAATTCGTTGATTGTTTGTTTGAAGTTTCCTGGTTTGTGTTACATTATTTTGTGTTTTCATTTTGCTGTTTTGTGATACATTTTTTTTGTTTTTTTGTTCATGTTATCATATAATGTTGATTGCAACATATATTTGATTCCGTTGCTTTTTTGTTTACAAGTTTTTATTTCTAGCGTAGTGTATTTTGCACTTTGCTATTTATTCTGCATTTTACATATGTGATATGATTTTTGATATTGTATATTTCATTTGAACTTTAGTACATTCTTAGTCGTCTTGTGATTTTTAAATTGCATTTGTTTCAAATTACAATTTGCATTTGATGTTACCAAATGCACCTTGCACATTGTTATATGCAATTGATGTACATGGATTATAGGTACAAATATGGTTGTTCAATAAATCTTTTTTTTTAATTGAACAGTTGATTTGACGAAGGGGAAGAGGAAAGTAGATGAAACATTCGCCTCTTTAAAAAGAGGAAAGCCACGATCGAATCAAGCCGAATCTATTTGCACGGTAGCACGAATCCATATTATGTTTCGACAACGCCTCAACGAAAACCAGATTTGGTTGATTGTGGGATTTTTGTCTTGTATATTGCAAGGCAGTTGCTCATGCAACAACCATTAGTGAGAAAAACTGCAGAAAATGGGATTATCGAACTCGCAAAACTTTTAAGTATCAGTTCTTGAACGTCGAGGATACCGTTGAGTTAAATTAGAATTTTTTTTATGACATTTACTTATGTTTAGCAGAACTTTGTTTTTTTATTTGTGGCATTATATTTTTGTTGGATTTCGATATGAACTATTTTCTAATATATTCCAGAGACTCATGCAGGTATTTTGTGTATTGGTATATGCTTGCCAATGCATAATTTCTTATAAATTCAGTAAATTGTTTAAAAAAACAGTATATTCGACCTTTATTATGTTATATACTGCTGCAACAAAATTGTCACAGGGCTTTAGTCTTCATTCCGCTGTTATAGTTTGCATTTTGGAATTGTAATTTATATGCAAACTGCAAGAAAAAAAAAAGGCAAAGTTCAAATAATACAATACCAACTGCAAAAACAAATATATGACATCAAAAGTGTAGATAATATTATACCAAAAATTACATCATGTATAACAGCAACATGTACAAATATATCCGAGCAACAAAGACATCGTATATACAAACTGCAAACATAAAAATCAAAAGTGCAAACAAATACCATGCCAACAACTCAACACAAATATATAACCTCATAGTGTAAATTATAGTCTACTAGAAACAACAAAACGCAAAACAAAAATCTACCAACATCGAAAAATGTGCAAAACGCAAAACAAAAATCCACCAACATATAGTCGATGCCCTTGAGCATCTAGATACATAACTGCTCTGAAAATGAAAGAAGGAATGCATTAATCGGCGGAGAACGAGCGAGCCATTTTGTACTCGTTTTGGTTTGCACCAAAAAATAAAACTAAATTAAATCTTCTTATGATGAGCGAATCAAGAGAAAATATGTGAATCGGACTCAATCACATTCTCTATGGTCATCTTCTCCTTCAATCTTGCATCATCAACCCTGAAAATATCACAAAATTTAATTTAATGCCTGCCAAACTGAATCAAAAGTCTAAATTTGAATTTGAATCTTGAAATCTAAACTAGATATTTTGCGAAAAAGAATAAGAGTGTTGTCAAAGATGAATCAACCACGTCTCATAAACTCCCTTCCATGATGAGTTTTTTTTCCAACCACGTTCATAACTCCCTTCCAAATCTTATGACGTGATATATGAGATTTATTCTCACAATTTACGTAACTAAAGACTTCCATAAATAAATAATTTATTGTTCAATGGTGTTTATGTCCATATGCAAATTGATTTTATTTCATTTAATTGATTTTTTTAGTCAAAGGGCATATAGCTATATTAATCTAATTGGACTTCTACCCATATAAGTTTGAAATATAGGGGTTATAGCCAATAATCCCTATAAATAAATGTAAAATTAATGTATATGACAAACTACCCCCAACCCTTTAAACTCAATTCCTAAATGTAACCTTAATTTAACTTCAATTTTGAGCAAAAAAATCAAATTTTGACTTTTTCTTTTTTTAAACATTTTTTTTTCTGTTTTTTTTTTCCGCCAGTTTCTGGCGTTGACTTTTTTTTTTTCACCGCCAGTCTCTGGCGTTGAATTTTTTTTAACCTTTTTTTTTCCCGAAAATACTTAGCCCTTTTTTTTTACGCTCGCCGCTGAACGTTGAGCGTGATAGTACTGTCATTAGTAGTAATTATACTGTCGTTGACAGTACATGTACTGTCAACCAAATCAGTATTATTATTTTTTTGGTTTTTTTTTTTTTTTTTTTGTGTTTGATTTGTTGACAAGTTAAATGTAATAAAATTACTGTCGTTGACGGTAAAATTACTGTAAACACAATAATATTACTGTGGAATCCTACATCTGCAATAGTCAGTCAGTGGTAGTGAAGCTCGTAGGGATGATGTTATAGCAAACGACTCAACTCCAGTCGTGGATGGTAGGCATCACTAGGAGGAAGAAAACCTGCATGTGCCGACTATGCAGGGTAATCTAGAGGTTGATGCTACTCCTTTGTTGGTCACCAAGGATGGCAACTTACAAACCGGTGATGCAACACCGTCCAAGGCAAGGGTTTCTTTACCCCTCACCATCAATGAAGCTACCCTGGGTAAGATGATAGCCTCAATAATAAATGGTGTCAAAGAACTATCTGCTGTGGGCGACTCGAAAATGGAGACAAAGAAGGAAATAATTGTGCTCTCGAACCGACCGTCTCTCGAACGTATGGCAGAATATCACGACGAGGGCTCTGATGCACAAGAATATGAAGACGATTGTTTTCGTATACCAGAGAATACATGCTCTAACGGTGAAGAATTAAAAGAAAAACAAGCTCTTGTTGATCAATTCGACCCAAAATCTGATATGGAATTCCAACGACGAGCATCAAAGAAAAAACAACCATAAAAATGCAATCAAATCTCAAAAACCGATCGTCAAACGCATTTTGGTGCAAACCTCTTGGGTTATTCTCGAGATATCTGAGTTAAATTTCAGCCTTGGATGGGGACAATTTGAAATCTCACCAGACTAGGCTGAGCTGGGGCCAATTTTCAATTTTAATAATGTGCTTTTCCGTAGGGTAGGGTTTTCTTTTTCGTTTTTACCCCATTAGAGGTTTTTGTTTTTCCTTCCTTTGTGTTCTTTCATCACCCCATTAGGGGGTTTTTGATTGACTGCTTAGGATTTCTTTGTATTTTATTAAAAAAAAAATAGTAATAATATTACTGGCAACTACATCAATATTATTTTTTTTTGGTATTTTTGTTTTATCTGATTTGTTGACCGATTAATGTAATAATATTACTGTCTACTATTGTAATATTACTGTACACACAATAATATTAATGTGGTTGATGGTAATATTAATGTCGTTATAGTAATATTATTGTGGCTGACAATAATATTACTGTCAACCACATCAATATTAATTCTTTTGGTTTTATTATATTTGTCTTTGTTGAACGGTAACATATTAATATTAATCTATCACACAATGATAGTGATTTTTGTTGTGTTAATATTACTGTGCTAGAGAGTAATATAACAATATTACTGTGTTAAAATATAGTTAATATTATTGTGTTAAACAGTAATATAGTTAGTATGACTGTCAAACACATCAATATTACTGATTAAAGGGGCCAAAAAATGTTGAGGAAAAAAAAAAGTTAGGGCCGCCGGAGACCGGAATTGACCGTCGTCCAGCGGCGGCAGAAATAAAAAGAAAAAGAACAACAAAAAAAATAAGTCAACACCGGAAAACGGCGGAAAAAAAGAAAAAAAAAAAAAAAAAAGCCAACGGCAACGACGGGCGAAATTGTACTCAAAATTGGATTTTGGGTCAAAATTTAATAATTGAAAATTTATGATCAAATTGAGATTAAATTGGATCAAATGATGAAATTGAAACATAAAAATGTGATGGGGTATTTTAGTCTTTTATACACCTCTAGACAATGTTTGGACTTTTTCATAAAACCAAATTTATTAAGATCATTTTATGAATAAGTAGCCCATAATTGGTTTATTTGTAATGGACCCTCAAAATAAATATCGAAAATATCCATAGTCTAAAATAATTACAAGCATCATCTTCTAATATATTAAATATGAGAGATATATGTAGTCAGTGACGGAACTAACATAGAGTCAGATTGGCCCATGACCCCCCAACATCCTCAAATCCCTATAAAAGTGGCATTATCGGCCCCCCTATAAAAGTTTTGAAGCATTCGACCCCCATGATTTCATTTCATTTTACCAAATGCAACATGTATCAAATCGCAAAGAAATGATTTTAGAGAAGGAAAGCAAAAAATAAAATAAACTAATTAAGACAAGATAATGCCAATGAATTATATGATATCCCGACATAAAATTATCCTAGAATCATGATACAAAAGACTACTTAGAATGCATGAAATGACAAATTTACAGAGTTACAGAGAACACAATATACTAATCCAAGGTATAATAAAGCATATCCATAGTTTGATTAAAGCTTAAATCCAAAGGCATCTGCTACACTAAGTCAGCATCACTCGAAATCTACTATTTGCCATTTACCTAATTTGTGCAAAGACATTTAGAAGAAGATCCAATCAATGCACAAAAGAATCTTTCTAATCTCTCTCTACATTCGGAAATCCAAAACGCACACCACATTGTTTGCAAAACAAGCAGCAATCTTGTCACCTTCCTTGTTCCAGCAAACTTCAAATATACCACCATTCCCGCTGAATGTTTTCACGATTTTCGCTTCTTTTACAGACCATACGTGCATGCATTTATCTAGCGATCCACTTGCCAAATACTCCCCATTTGGGCTAAATGCAACCGAATATACGGGATCCCTGGATTTCAATTGATTAATATTAGGACAATTATAAAAAAATGTCGAGAGGAAAAAATGCAGTAAAATAACTCGGTTAAACTTAAATAAATAAAAAATTATAAGGTTTTCTTACCTGTGACCATCTAAGCTCTGCAGAAGACGACCTGCTTCTACATCCCACAGCTTTATGGTTGAGTCGAAGGAGGCGCTGCACAGGAGAGAGAAGAATGATAAAATAACCAAATAGGATATATGAGTAAACTAATAATCAGCCGATACTTTGATTGAAGAATATCAATTGCTTAAACATACATGATGTAGCAAAAATTGGGATATCCAGAATTTTGCCATATCGAAAGCTAGATTCTTACATTTGTATTTGCAATTAGATAAGGCCCATCTATCAAACATTTACTTTTTATATTAGGAATTTTTTTTTTACGTTCACTCATTTTTTTTGTTTGTATGTTCTAATACTCTCGAATATTTTGAACAAGAACCAACATTGAGATCCATGAGTAAAATGAAATACAAAATTAAGTCACCAGGCAATCACTCAATAATCATAGGGGAGAAAAATCACCTAGCCAGAACAAGTTGCTGATTAGGATTGTTGGTTCCAGGGCCCGTTGGACTCCATCTCACAGTGTATATCTCCTGAAGAAATGGTTTTTATATATGTCAGCAACTCTGATTTACATTGTCATTGCAAAAAACGACAGACACGAAAGCTTAATGTCATACTTTAGAGTGTTCCCTCAAATCAAGCAAGCAGGTATCTTGTTTCATAGTCCATATCTGCATCATAACCAATAAGAAGAAGCTCACCAGTTATATACTAAAACTAAACACCAGAGCAAAACCATGAAGATAAATACTTTAACTAAGCAATGCAGTAATGCCTGCGTATTTTTTCACGGAAAGGCCGTAAGCAAACTAAGTAACAAATCATAGACTACAACTCTAATTCAAATAAAAATGGATCATCGGTTATCTATCTTAAATCATCAACTATGAAACTCTACGTGTACCGAAATTGTTTCTGACCTTTGCAGTAGAATCGTCAGAGCATGATGCAAGAAGGGAGCCCGTGGGGTCCCACTTGATAGCATTAACTTCACCCTGAAGAAGCACTTTCAAGTGTTAGTGCAAATGTATTTGTAGAAGTAGAAAAGACATTTACACAAATAACTGTATTCTAACCACAGAACCAACATTTGCATGTTTCTCAAATCTCAAACATCTGTATAATATTCCAATAACTTAAAAGTCAAAACTACAGTGTGTATGCAATGTGTATATAATACACGTGGTCACGTACCCACTGACCTACATGTGTGCAGTAACTACAAATGATTTTCAGTGCTCCCACTAATATCAGTGCATTCATATGCATACTAGTTAAAGCCATGAAACTACTATGTCTCAATGGATTACATCACATTTTTTAATCCGTACAATTAGATAAATCTAATATTACAGTGCAGTTAACACAACAATGCCAACTCCATGGCAACAAGGTGATTTTTTCTTACATAATAATAATACTGTATAAGGATTATTTCATCCAAATTGCCACCTCTAACCAATAGATAGAATCATATTGTTGAACCAACCTCACAACTCTCCAGATATTGAAACTAGTGATTACCATACCATCACAAACAAGGTAATTATCTGTGCTGAATATAACAAATGAAACAAACCTGATGCCCTTGGAAACTTTTGATCGGTCGATTCTCTCCGACTTTACATACATATATCATGCTATCAGTGGAGCATGTAGCAAATGAAGTATTGTTTCTCCAATCAACATCGAGGGCAGGAGCTGCATCCAGAACGTCATGAAAAAATCATACCAAGTCAAAAATGCAAATGGTTGCTTTCATCACAAAGACATGCATTTGGACAGGCATAAGTATAAAGAAAGATGAAAGGATGCAAAAGCACCTGTGTGAAATTCGAATTGTTGTCTCCATTCGCCTGTCTTAACGTCCCATACAATTGCGGTTTTATCAACACTTCCACTGAGAAGAAAATCCCCTTTCTTGTTCCACTTCAAAGAGAAAATTGGCCCTTTATGTTTGTTTAATGTACTAATCAACTCCCCTGGACAAAAATAAAGATCGTAAGCACGTCATCATGCAAACGAGAGATACAAAAATCATGGTTAGAACAAAAAACGAGTCTTGCAAGATTAAATTCTGTAGCTCTACGGACTTCTAATGCAGCTTCAACTCGGTAAGAATATACATTATCCAGAAAAATTTCTGACAAACACACAACACACCACAGAAAGAATATCCGCACAAGGACATAAACTATAACTTATCATGACAAGATACATCAATGTATTGTACAGATTTTTAAATTTGGTTTGAATAAGAACTCCAAATTGTAATTTAGTACATTATTAGTCTGTCCGGAACGTGATTATTTTGTTTATTCAGTAAAAGTAGGCATTGAAATTTCTTTATAACCAATTTCTTTCCCAAAATACAACGCATCAAATTAGTCATTGAAATTTTGAACTCCATAAAGTCAGTCCGAGCAGATGAAATACCATAGACAGAAGGTCATAATTCATAATCACTCTTCTCAGGCACAATCCTCACCAAGTCATCGAGTCTTGCATTTAAGAAGGCATTTTCCCATCAAATGCGCAAGCAAGAAATGATAGACAACTTTTTCCTCCTAAGGCTGCCACTAGTGGTGTTACTTTTTTCCTCCTAACGAAATATAGTATCATAACTCATAGGTTCAAGAGCCACTTATAGATTTGAAAATACTTCCTCTAATTAATCTCCTCTCCAACTTTCAATTACTCCATAGCATCAGTGATTATCTTAGCAAAAGTATCGATAAGTTAACTTCTTAATGTAACACCGCACATTCTACATGCAGGACATTCATCTAAAAGGCATACAAAATTGAACCTTTTTCCTAGTCAAATAATAACCATACAAGCAAATGTGATGAAGTTTGGAGCAAAAACAAAACGGTTCATGCCTAAAATATCCACACAAACATAATAACTAGATGCATGAATTCATACTTCACTAAATATATCATATGCTGAAGTAACTGGATTTGTTATCAGATATAAAATTGGCATGGCATATCCAACTTCAAGGGTGAAAAAGTTTCAAGAAACGAAGTTTGTAACAGCGATTACCTGTTCTACTCCATATCCTTGCTTGGCCATCATAAGAACCAGTAGCAAGTAGCGTTCCATCAACCTACACAATAATCATGTTACAAGAAAAGGAAATAAAAAACCATGTCAAATCTTTGAAGGCATCAGATTGACAGAATCCAGTATGCAGAGATAGAACTTAGATGTCCAAATGCTGAAAAAGAAGATGCACTGAAGAGTAAAATAGTTTAAACACGCACATTCCAATCAAGCGTTGTCACATCCTTGCTTTTCTCATTTGTTCTACCCTTGAAATGTCTAAGTACGACGTTGGAAGGCTCATTCTCAATGTTGGAGCTAGATGGTCCCTCCACAGTCCAAATTCTAGCAGTTGAATCTCCAGACCTATAAAACAGATAAACATAAAAAATAAAAATAATAATAATAGGAATTGAATTAACAGAATAGAACATAAAGATGCATTACAAGTGATAAACTATGAAGATTCGACCAAGTCAAGAAGTTTAATCCCATACTTAGAAGAGTATGAAGAGTGAACTGACTATACACGTGTGTGAAATAAAATCTAATCAAAACAACTGATGTACAATTTGAAAAGATGCTGAAGAAACATGAGGATCCATGATAGTTTTGTCATTAAATGCAACTACAGATAGATACATTGACAATCAAGCATATCACACTGGATATGATGTGAACAATGTACTGGTTCTTGCATGTTTTGTGAGAAAGATACGGAAATGACAAGCCATACTTAATCTAGTTGTCTCAGATCCAAAACCCAGATCATAAGAACATCATCTTCTTTTTGTCAACTAAAATCATTGAAAATTTACATATCTACCAAATGTTGTTGTATTTCGTTTCTATGAAGTTGATCGGACACCAGTTTCATGGGAATACATAAATTGCCAGCTATAAAACTTTAGATTAATCCAAGCAGGTCTCTTTTTTTCTTTTAGCCCAAGGATAAAACGAAATCAACCAATATGTCATAGAAGCAGTGCATAAAGATAAAACAAGAAAGGGTCGAGTGTGATATACTCAAATTCAAAAAATAATACATAGAGTCCTGGAAAACAAGGACATTAAGAAATCGAGTAATAGGTGCTTCCGAAAAACTACACAAATCACCTATAGAAAATCAGACAAACAAACAGCATTATTTGACTCTGGATTCTTATCTATCTAACTCTAAAAACCACAAAGATCCTACTTCCTATGTATCTTCTTCATTTTCAATGAAGGCGTAAAATATTTCTTCTGTGCACAGCTAGATAGGTTCCATAACTAGGAGGATTAGTTAATGTTGAGTTGTTAAGAAGATTGTTAAGGATTATGAATGAGTTTGACGGCATTCTCTTAGCTTCGAATCTTAAGCCCTAGGTCATACGATCTCGAACGATTTAATTCTGATACAATTAAAACAATGGGAAACTTCCAAGCAAGTGAGTGCATGTACATATCATACATCAAGAAAGAAGTTATTGAGATTAAAATCCCAGGGCAAGAAAATAAAGATAAATCATGCTTCAGATAAGTAATATTTATAGCTTATGCTAACCCGGAAGCAAGAAGTGAACCAGTTGGATTCCATGCACATGCAAAAACCTGTGAAGATAAAAAGGAGCATCAGCTAGTTGTCCGACACAATTAATCACATTTCTCTTCACTACTGGAGATAAGAGATGAGGAATTATAAAACGTGATCAAACCTCAGAAGTGTGGCCTTCCAAAACAGTCACATCACTATCTGGGATTTCACAAGGCAAGGAAGCTAAACTAGGGCATATATCCATTGGTTCTGGCCCTATCATAGCATCAATGAACAAAGAGTAGTTATATATCATGAAAAATCATAAAAAACAACAGCGAGATCTTGCACGCTAAGACAAGTACATATGAAGTCCCCCAATTAGTGACAAATATTATAACATTAATAATTCTGAAATGTATCTTACCCGTGTTAGTTCCATTCTCCTCAAATCTGCCATTAATCTCGTCTCCAATATTATTAGCATCACTGGTGTCCTCAAATGGCTTTTCCTTTTCTTTGCCTTTTTCTTTCTCTTTCTCCTTCTCTTTCTCTGCTCTTTCTCTATCCCGTTCCTTCTCTTTCTCTATTCTCTCTCGTTCCTTCTCTTTCTCTATCCTCTCTCTATCTCGTTCTCGCTCCTTCTCTTTCTCTATTCTCTCTCTATCTCTCTCTTTTTCTTTCTCCCTCTGTTGTCTTTCGTTCTCCTTTTCTCTTGCAAGTTCCTTGTCTTTATCCATTGCAACTGAACGATCGTGTTCTCTGCCGTTTACGATAATTTCTTTCTCCTTTCCCTTACCTTTGTCCTTCTGAATATTTTCTTTTTTATCTTTTATGATTTTTCTGAGTTCAACGACGTCTTTTGTTATAAGATCAAGAGGATGAAGGAACTGGAAATCTTCGTCGGTATCCAAGTCATCCTGAATACATCAGAAATTATGTATCGGTGCAAAATTGTCAAACGCGCAAAACAAAAACTGAAAAAACGGAAATTAAGTGGTACCATACTTACATTACTCAGGTTTGCTTCTAATTCAAGATACTGAATGCCTTTCTGAATAAATGTAACGAGAGCACCGGGTGGGACAAGATTTGCATCTATGGTACTTTTGTTGATCCCTGCCTCATATCCTAAAGCAAATGCTGAATGCGCGAATCCTGAAAATGCATTTGTTCAAGATAAAGCATTAACAACTAAATTCTATGGATAATAAAATTGTTCTCTTGGATTTCAGAAGAGAGATAATATTCTCCAACATTCTAAAATTTAAGTTTCTTCACAAACATATATTTCATTCAACAACATTGAGTAACATAAAATATCAGTTAATAACTTGATATTGAGCACGGCTATGATTTCTTGGACCAATATGAACAAGTCCAGGGATTGTATAAATTCATAGAAATACTAAAATATCATCTAAGTATTGCTTGAATACTATACAGTGTCACATAAAATTCTATAAGAATTCAAAACCAACTTCTATGTTCCCTGAAAAGGATCCAATATTTTGACCTTTAAATTGATGAACATGGAGATGTTTGTTTACTGTTTTTAATGATTACCACAGTGTCATTTTTAATGAACTGTCTTCGGATCTGATGGCATTTAGTCATCTTTAATGCCAATCAACAAAAAATACCACATAAACATAAATGTTCAGCCCCTTCCCATTCTTGCGATACTTCCAACGAAAAAAGATTAGACGAGTTTCTATCATATGTCATAAGATGAACTGTCCTATCATAACGTGCAGCTTGTCTATAATAGAAAACGATGAACTAACATCATGGAAGTAAACCGTATAAATATAGCTAAAGAATAATGGAACAATATATTCATGTTTTTCCTGAGATTTTCGGAGTTCCTTTGTCATTACCAAAATATAAGATTTATAAAATCATATCAATCTTCTCTTGACTACCACATTAGATCGACTCTCACAGTCAAAGAAGGCAAAGATTTCGAATGTGTGTTTTCTTATTTTCATTTTTTTTGAGGATATATAATTGTAAGGCAAGATCTAGTCCTTTTCGTATTGAACTGAGAATTAACTATTAATGTGCCTTATAGAGTAAAATACACAAAAGTATGTCTGAATAGGCCAGTTGCTTGCACTTACCATTACACGACGTACATTAATAGATGGAACTGTTTCATGGTTTCATATCTATCATTCACATGGATAATCTAATTTTTCATCTAACTTATGATAGATTTGATGAATACTCGTACAACAGTACTTTCCACGAAACAAGCTTTTCAGATCACAAGCTCTCTCCATAAAGAGGGATCGTTACTTCTTTGTTCATTTTCAAATCAATGGTTGGAAAAATATTTGTTCAACTGACTATAGTCGAGTATGTAAAATTGGATCAAAGTGGAGTTGATAAAATTGAAGCTAACTTCTTTAGTTCTTTTTCAAGGCTCAGTTCACTATATTTGCTCAAGCAGCCCAATAAACATCAAGATTCATACAGAGTATAATTCTCTTATTTCAGCAGCTCCTAACATTTCTCCTATTTTGACTAATCAAGACTTCTACAAAAATCCTGCAAGCAAATACCCACATTTTAATGTTTCTTCCATTATTTTAACTGTTTATTTTTCAAGTTCTTCGCTTCGAGTTGGGTAAGCATAAAATCCCATAGTCGAATTCACACCAAACATTAACCCCTAACTAAAATGAACCAAGTAAGTTGCTAAATCGAATCATTCCAGAAACAACAAAATTAATTCTGCAGCATTAACAAAAATGAAACCCTATTGCTCAATTGGAAACCCAAAATTCGTTTCAACAAAAATCCTAAACCCAGTTAGCAAATTACAAAAAATTGAAGTACGCAAACACTCGGCGACAACGCATACGGCACAACAAGAGTAGATACGTGCATATATACGCACACACAGAGAGATTCATACCAGATTCGTTGAGATAACGGAAAATAAGGTAGTTCAACTCCGCCGAGGTTATCGAGATCATCTTCGGAAATTCCTTTCTGCATGTACAAATTGCTCACACATAAATTTCTCAATCTGTGTGTGCGAATTTGTGTGTGAGAAAGGTATTTGGGCAGAGAAATTGAGAGAAGGGCGGGCGGAGGCGGAGGCGGAGGCGGGGCTGTGGGCTGAGCTTTGCGTTTTCCGGCTTTAGGAGAAACTTAATACGACTAAAATGACTGGAATGCCCCCACTGGGCTTATCAATCAAGAAAAACAAAAGGGTAAATCACACAAATCAGATTTGCATAAATGGAACATGAAATCTATACAATACAATTATAATATAATATAATTTAAAATATTATGTAATATAATATTAAATACTATATTATAATATAATGAATATAAAAGTAAGTAAGATACACAATTTCATTTTTCAATCTCACCAATTTGCCCCAATCCAATTTTCAATTAATTATAATTTGGTAATTTAATTCATCTTATTGCCATAACATTTATTATTTTAAAATTTATGCACGTTTTCCGGGGATTAGGTGGACAAATCGTTTCGTTTGATTGGTTCGTTTAATATCCATGTGGATTTTTCATCATTAAAAATCTTTTCCACATATGCTAAAGTATGCATGCGGATTTTTGCTTCCCATTATGACACCTAGTTTAATCCTACACTCTTCTTCCTCCTTCTTCTTCCACCTCACCCTATTACTTGTCCTCCTCCCATCATTCCACCGAAACATCACCACCATCACCATTCTTCACCTTCTTCCACCTCGTCTCTTGTTTTTCAAAGAAAATGGAAAATCGTTTCAAAATTTCCCCTATTTGAAGCAAGGACTTGGAGTATCCTAAAACACCATTCACCAAAAAGAAATATACATCTCACTTGAAGATCCACTCCATCTCCTTCACCATCAAAATAATTTGGGCACCAACCTTTGAAACATTTTCCTTCGGTTTTCCTTCATTTTTCTTTCGGTTATTAAGGTAAGAAATTTCGATTTCTTACTGCAATTAAAGGGTGTCAATAGTATCAAAAATGGTTTTCAAAATTTCTTAAAAGACTTGGAGAGATTTTGAATAAATTATGCCATTTTGGGGAAAATGGAAAAGTTATGTTAGATTGTTATTTCTTGTTCTTGCATGCATCATTTATATTTAGATAAAAGTTTTATTGACCAAGAACTTAAAATAAATTTCAGATTTTTAAAGAGTGAAGAAAAATGAATATTTGAACTTTTATGGGGTTGCATGTGTAGATCTAAAGATTTTTGGGTCAAATTCATAATTTTCAAGAAGTCAGTCCTAAACATGTTTTCAGATCTGTTCTTCAGCATTAATTAAACAAAAAATTCGGATTTAAAAAGGTTTTGCAAGAAAAAATAATTTTTGAACTTCTAGTGGTCTTGCATGTATAGATCTAGAGATTTTGGGGTAATGTATAGATCTAGAGATTTTGTGGTAAAATATGTAATTTTCAAAAATTCTGCCTCAAGTAACTTTTTAACTTTGTTTTCTGCATACATTAAAGTAAAATTTCAGATTGTTAAAGGCATTTCATGAAAATTCGGATTTTGAACTTTTAGTGTGGTTGCATATGTAAATCTTGAAAACTTTGGGGTCAAAATTGTAATTTTTGAAAAAAATTGTCACTTCTCAATTTTGGGAGTCTGTTTTCCAGCAAGTGTTACAAGAGAAGAAAGTTGTGTTTTTTAAGTTTTATTGGGGTCACATTAAGAATTTGCATTCTTAAAGAAAAAAGGGGTTTTCCTAGTTTTTATTTTAAAGAAAATTCGAAACTTTATGAAATTTTAAAATTTCAGAAACTAAAACTTTGGTCAGTTAGGAACTCTAGAATTTAATTTAGGAATTTCTGGAATTAGTTTACTACTATTTCTAATTTTTAATATCATGCATGTCATTTATGATGTTTTGTGCTTTAAAATTAATCTCCTTGTCATGAAATAGTTGATTGAGAAGGATGAAACTTGAGATTGTGTGCCTTAAATTTATGTAGAAGATGTGTTAATTACTGCTGGAAATTAATCGAAATGGATTTATTACCTAGAAGTGGTAATAAATTCGTTAAGGAATGGATAAAAAGGGCTACTTGCTTGGCAAACACATTTAAGTGTTAAATGGTGACATATTACATGTGTTTGGCTGAATGTGTATATATGTGTGCCGTGTGTGTATACATATGTGTGAATTATTGCATAAGTATGTGATAAGTTATGGTAATTATGTGATTATATGGTACTTGATTGATATTTGTGGTGTTATGTGTGAATTGCATAATTAGTGTGACAAAAGCATAATTTTGGAAAAAAATGCATTTCATTATTTTGAAAATTGAAAGATAATGGAATGCTTAGTGAATAAACGGGACACGGTGGGCCGGTATCCAACTAAGATGAAATACGTGATTTGATTCCACAATAGAACGGGCTCGAAACGCTTTATAGTTTATTGCTAGGCACATAAGTTAATGCTTAGTGAATAAACGAGATACGGTGGGCCGGTATCCAACTAGGATGAAATATGTGGTTTAATCAGAACGGGCTCGAAACGCTTTATAGTTTATTGCTAGGCACATAAATTAATCTTTCACGGATCCGATAAACGAAAAATGATGTTTCACGATTTTCATAAAAAGGGCATTTTAGTCATTTTGCATAAGTAAATGTTTATGTGTGAATAATGTGTTCTCGTGAATTATGTGATTAGTCGTTTGCCTTATGTTGTTTGGAATGTGATTAAGGATAGCTATATAATATTATATATTATATATAACGTATTTTCAAAATTCGATATTTCATTGGATTTCTTACTGAGCTTTATAGCTCATGTAGATGCATTTTAATTGCAGGTAATAGTGTTAGTAATCCTCCACCGGAATGGATCTAGGTCTTGCCTGGGATTTTTGGAAGTTGTACGAGGACCTATGAACGATGCTAAAGTATTTTGGTTTTTGGTGATGTAATAGTAAACCTAAGTATTTCCCTTTTTGGATCTTTCGAACTCGAATCCGGTATGGATCGTATTTGACTTTTATTACAAAATAGTCCTTTTAGTAAATTTGTTATTTTCACGTCTCACTAGTGGTTTTCAAATTATTTACCAAAATACCTTTTCAAAACTCTGATTTCTTTTCGAACCAAGATCGATAGTTGATAGTGTAGCACTCGAACGAAAATCTTCCTAAGAAAGTTTTTGAAAATCACAAAGGGTTTTTAATGTCCTAAAGAAGAGATTTTTAATAATTTCATTTTAGTCTCATTCCAAGGTTTTAAAAATTACAAAGATTTCCTTTTGCTTCCGCTAGTTAAATGAATATTCCGATAAACCGGTTCGATTTATCGCCCGACTAGAAGGGGGTGCTAATCAAACTAGGAAAACGAGATAATTACCAAAAAAGGCAAAAAAACGAAATAACTCCTAAACCTAATAGAATACCGAGAGTTGGAAACATCCCAACTGGCGGAATTCAAATCCGAAATTTCTAGAATTAATTATGAATTATTTAAAATTTTCCTAAAATAGCAAAAATGTCGTTTTGAAGGCCTAAACGACCTCGAAACGCCAAAATCCATCACACATCATGGCATAACAGTGAGTTTAACTCCCCTCGTCGTTCCGGTTCGGAAAAACTTGGCCGCGCACAATTCCGGCTCTGCCACCTCTGCATCAGATAATTTAATGGTATATTTTATTTCCCTCCAAAATTGCCCTATCTCATCGGCCACATCATCTTGTTTATTTTTAATCTATTTAATTTTATTAATTAAATGCCAACTCATTGAACCAAGCATTGAATTACCTGTTATAGCAGGTCATAGGACCGAAATTCTCAATTTTTATAACTTACAGTACTAAAATTCTAATTTTAAAATATAGTGAACTAAAACTCTCAACTAGTAAACTTACATGACTAAAAAACTCATTTTGACGTATTTACCACAAAGCTAACCTTAATTAAATTAAAACTCTATCATATATAGCATCTATCACTTACTAATAACTTGGTCTTAAAAAAAATAATCAAACAATATGGCAAATAGATATATACTTGATAAATTAGGCATAAAAAAGTGCTATATATAGGTCCTGTGCTCACTGCAGAAGGAAGCTATAGAAAGAAAAGAATCAGACTAGTTATTTCAAAGGTATATATACAAATACAACTGCACATCCCACATAAAGATAAAGCACTAAAAACCAACATCCCTTTTTTTGCATGATAATTAACCCTAACTATGTATGGAGTGGGAGTGTGACCCATATTTTGGGGAATGAAAGCGAGCTGTGTAAAAGCTTCAAAAAGTGGGTTCAAAAGTTCTCGTGAATCACAAACAATTATATAATTTTGTTTTAGGGTAAATTACAAACACCCCCTGAGGTATGGTCAAATTACAAAAATCCCCCTCTTGTTTGGATAATTACATCTACCCCCTCAACTATGATTTTTTCTTAGACCTCCACCTTTATGGTGCCAAATTCAACATAGTCATCTAGATTCCGTGAAATGTGCTCTAGTTTGTACTCGTTTTGCGTAAAAAATACAGTTTCCGATGCACCACAAACTGATATATACAAGCTAAAAATCACATATTATGATCATCTTGCTTCATAATGTAGAGTTTGAATGGGATAAAACGGGTACAAAAGTGATAATATTACATATAATCTCGAAAATTCCACTAAATTTGAGGAGTTGAGGGGGGTGGTTGTAATTATCCAAACAAGAGGGGTGTTTTTGTAATATATATATATATATATATATATATATATATATATATATATATATATATATATATATATATATATATATATATATATATATATATATATATATATATATATATATATATATATATATATATATATATATATATATATATATATATATATATATATATATATATTTGGATAAATTATCACCATTCTTGATGTAAGGTAAAATTAAAAAAAAAAATCCTTCTTTGAATAATTACAATCACCGCCTTAATTATGAATTTTCTTACACGCACACCCTTATATATGGTGTCAAACTCAACATAATTTTCTAGATTACGTGGAACGTTCTCTAGTTTGTACTCGTTTTGTGCAAAAATACAGAATTTCTGATGCACCCGCAATCTGATATTTACAAGTCAAGAGATACATCTTTCTTATGATGACTTGTTTCAAAATATGGGTCTCGAATGGGGTAAAACGAGTACAAACTGGAG